AAAATAAAATAACTGATAAAATAAAATAAAATAAAATAACTGATAAAATAAAATAAAATAACTGATAAAATGAAACGAAACTAAACGAAACGAAATGAAACGAAATAAAAAATTTATTAAAATCTAATTCATATTTTTATTTTTACAAATCTACGTTTACAACAAATCAATGAACATTTAAATATCGCTTCTCCCTTCCCCCCACGGGATGATGCAAATATACTATTCCCTCCCCTTCCCCTATTGCAATTCAGGTGTTTTCTCAACACCCATGTCTATTATAAGAAAAAGTTTCTTATATCTAAAAATTAATAATTATTTATCATCAATGATCAATTAATAGGATATTAATTAATATCCAAAGTCTATGGTTTAAATAATGCATAATCAAAATTACCAGCTGAGTTCACTGCTTTCCTCGAAAGGAACTATTGGTAACTATTTTTGGTTAGCATTTTCCGAGCAGGGGCTGGGTACAATATATATTTCTCTTGCCAATCTAAATGAAATTCCGCTATGATTTCGACAAGCGTTTACGACAATGTAAAGAATAAATAATTTGCATTTCATGGGTTCTCTTGGCAAAATCATGTGAAATGCTAATCAAAATACAATGTCGAATCCTCAATTCTGATTGCTTGACTTTGAGGTCGTTCTGAAGGTTAACTCAGCTGGTCTTATTTTCGCTTTGGTGAACGAATTACCGGCGGAATACCGAGCGGGTTACCTGTGGTTTTGTAGGGGAAGTTACATAGTGTAGCGTCGATGAAGCCACTAAAACGCGGCCTGAAAATAAAAATGCAATTGGAGTTCCTGTGTCATAGCATCAGATTAAGGCCCCATCCACACGTACCCGAAAATTTTTGTATCCGCAAATTTATAATTTTTTGCGGATACGGGTTGCGTCCACGCGTGTCCGCAAATTTTTGTGTCCGTATCCGCAAATTTTACGAAAACAGATACGTGTAGACGGTGAAAACGATTCGAATACGCTGCGTGTGGACGAAAACATTTTCGTATCCGCAAAAAATAATTTGCGGATAAAAAAATTTCCGGATACGTGTGGACGGGGCCTAATTAGCCTATGCATGAAAACATGAATGAGAAATAATACGGTGCATGTGCGCGTGTGTATATAATTATAGTGATGACTATACGATATCTAATAATAGATCTCAAAGTTATTATTACAGTATTATTTAGATTAGACTAAAAGAATTAAAAGTAATGTCAGGAATAATCTTAATAACGTAGTGATAATAAGCACAATACTGTTCAGTCTATTGTAGTCTAGATTAGATTAAACCAAAGAGGGATTCATATTGGTCTACTTCAAAAAGGGTGTTTAACGCCGGAAAACCTCGAGCTCTTTAAAGTAAATCGATTAACATCAACCGATAAAAAACGAGTTTTTGGATAAGAATATTTATAATGCATACCTAGTTAGAATGATTAAAGGAAGCTTCGTTTCATCCTGCACACGTCTTAATAATGTGCTATACTTAGTCTTAGTACATGTCATATGGCTTTTTGCCTTTTTTTTACCCAAATCCGGCACTATTTTAAGAATTTCTTATTTTATATTTGACATCGTTATTAACTAATTATACTCCCCGCTTTAACTGTATTTACCAATTTGAATTAAATTATTCATATTTTCCTTGATAACTTATTTCTTTTGCTTTTATCTTTTGATGATTATGACGTTTAGACACTGAGACTTCATTCGATTGGCTGCTACGTAGACCATGTGACCTACCATATAAGGAGATGGTGGAGAGGAATAGATGAGGTGGTGTATCAACAGCTGCTCAGGTGTCCATTGAGGTCTACTATACCGTCTTCATCCGCGCCCTTGGTGTAAGCAGGGTTGCTGAACATCATTTGTCCACCTTCGTAAAACACGTTGTCTGGAATATCTTTTATTGGCTCTAAATTAAAACAAAAATATAGACCATATGAAAAAGGGCATGTCCTTTGAGATACATTCGTTCATCAGTAGAAGTCAATAATGCTTTCATTAGAAAGAGTATATGGAAATTAGTGATCTTCCAAAATTTTAGTGTAGTAGCATTAAATGATAAAAAGCTACAGCTGTTTGAAATTAGAAAGGTTTGTATGGAAACAACAACCAAGGGCCTACCAGCTTCGCCATCATGTTTTTGGTACATTTCAAATGCTTTTAACTCTTCAGGGATTTAATATATGACAACAGAACTTTCTGAAATTACTAATTTAGACATGGTCTTTCTCGTAATGAAAATATATTTTTGAAATCATTACTTGTTTTTTGTGGTGCTCGTTCCCAGTCTTACACTCGTTTTTCATATGGTCTATTAAGCAATGAATTCAGAACATTGACCACACATGAATATTAATGGCAATTATTAAAACCTGTTTACAAGGTCGAACTTTCTACTGTATTGAACGCGCGAACGTAAATTTCTTACAACCAAGACTTGGGCTACTCAAATTTCAAGTTAGGTTTGATATTCTCCAAGATGCATCATTCAAATCATGTAAAAATATTTAACCATTCAACTATTTACTTCATGTAGAATCGATGCTGGAAATATTGATTTAGGTGTTGTTCAACTCACTTGATGGGACTGGTTTACTTCGTCTCCTGACCACAAAGAACACAATAAGTCCTCCAACGATGGAACCAAGTATACTAAATACGACCGCTACAGCAATGGTTTTGGTTTGCTTTTCTGGAAAGAACAATCATAAAGTACATTGAATAAATGACTTATGAACAGTTGGCATTAGAGTGCAGAGAGTAAGTATCCCCGGAAATATCCATTGATCTCTATCTGATCTGAGATTTTTTTTTTTTTTTTTTTTTTACCCAATTAGAATCGAGAAAATTCCGCCAAAACTGAGGCGTCACTTTAACTCTTGGATTTATGGATTTCTCGGGGAAATGAAAAAGATAGCGTTGATAAAAAGCGGTTGGAAGAGACCATGATCACTTAGTGGTTGATAACAGTGACAATAATTGATGAGCCTTATATTTGAATTGCGAAGGCTGGCATCTTTTAAATTTTTCGCTGATCAACTGATTTGTGAAGGCTTCATGAGACCTCAGCTTTGCAATGGTGACACTTCTACGTCACTATTTCAGATCAGCGTTGAGATCATGGAAAAATGTCGGACGTTTTATGGAAATGTTGGAAATTTGCTGGGAATAACGCGTACAGGTTGAAAATATGTTGAAAATAAGTTGGAAGTGAATGTTTGAAATACTTAGAAATACGTTGGAAGTGTCCAAAACTAAATCAAGGAGGACCAGTCTTGGACATATTTCCATATTTTTTGAATTTATATGGTATGGAAATATATTGGGTATCGCCACTTTCCAACATATTTCCATCAGTTTAAGCGCGCGCAATTTGTCCTGTGATATGCATGTGCATAACCACGCCCCAAACAAGATGATTACAAACGTACCTTGTGCTTCCTTTTCTTGTCTTGCTTTATCAGCTGGTGATAATAGCCAAACAAGAAATTAGTGAAATAAAAAAGATTTAATACAGAAGACATGCGCCGCTGTTACAGTAAGCAATGTTCCATGCAGCTGTATTCTTTTGCTACGGAATGTCAAACTTTGAAAAATCTGGAAAAGCTAGATCTCACTTCTACAATACTGCGTCAAAGCTGTTACACATGTTGCAAGAAACATTGGCTACAGTAGCTTAACATATATTGTTAACGTATCCTCATTTTAGTGTCTGTCTGTCTGTCTGTCTGTCTTTAATGCATGGGAGGATCCAGGATTGTTTCTGGGGGGGAGGGGGGTGCACCATCCAGGATTTTTGCTTTAAGAACGAAACTTTGCTTACAAACTCAAAAAAAAACAACAATGCAGTAGATATCAGGTCATCTAGGGGATGGAGGTTGCGCACCCCTCCCCTAGATCCGCCCCTATAATGACACTAACCTCTTTCTCTTTCGATGGCCTCTGCGGTGGAATTGATCTCACATTTATACCCTAAATGATAATCAAAATAAATAAGAGTTATAACAGCGTTTTAATTTTGGCGTATTTGCCGCGTAGAGTAGATCTAAATACAGTAGAAAATGGTAGACAATGAAAGATGACAGATCAAAGAACGACTGTATCAAGCTTCCTGAAAACCAGCTATTTCAAAAAAGGTTGAAGGTATGAAGGGCAAATGGCCATCGCTGATTGCATGACCAATTAGGTATAGCAGAACGCTAGTGAGATCAAATAGCGCCCGTGTAAACATTGCTATACTGAAGATGATCCGTCATCTGGGATCAAAACGTCAAATTGTAAAACATAAAAAAAGTCCGAGAAAACAATTAAAAATTTCATAAACATGACTCCCAACTCAGTGCAATTTTAAAGATATAGCAGTCATAGCTCTTGCAACATCGAGCTAGCTTACCTTTAAATCCCTTGTCACACTGGCAGTAATTATCAGCAGTTGTCATGTTGCAGACACAAGTACCGTGTACTGTAGCAGTCATAGCTCTTGCAACATCGAGCTAGCTTACCCCTAAATCCCTTGTCACACTGGCAGTAATTATCAGCTGTTGTCATGTTGCAGACACAAGTACCGTGTACTGTAGCTGTAATAGCTCTTGCAACATCGAGCTAGCTTACCTTTAAATCCCTTGTCACACTGGCAGTAATTATCAGCGGTTGTCATGTTGCAGACACAAGTACCGTGGTCGCTACAGCCGCATGGATCAAATCGCGCCATCCCTGGAAAAGAAGTAATAACATTAAGACACTATGGTATAACTATGGAAAAGAGACATGGAAATCATGGAAATAAGACAACACAATGCAGTAACATATGTTGTGATGCTCATGATTTAATCCTGAAATAAAAATATATGAACACGCTCGATCGCCATTTTTCTTTTCTCCTCTTGTGCAGAAAATTCTAAATGTCGCACACTGGCATCATTGCCCAGGACATTATGGGATATATATATACGATAGTTTTCGCATGATTGTCAGCCATGTTCACAGCACAAGCAGCCTGCTGTAAATCAACCTGGGCCCGGTTGTAGGAAGCCTGGATAGCGCTATCCGGCGGATAAATCCTTATCCAGAGGATAAGTCGATGCTGTTTTCTAATAAATTTATCGGATATAGCGCTATCCAGGCTTCGTACAACCGGGCCCTGAATATTAGTATTTTTAGAGGGTGCTCAAGTCACGTGATATAAACCACCTTTACGCTGACACCATCATGGTGGTGATCATCAATGGCTAGCTAAACATGTAGCTCAATAAATACCCAAAAACATCAAGATAACACATAATCAAGAATATATAAAGACTGCTAGTTGATCTGAAATAGTAACGTAGAAATGAGGTCACTGCAAAACTGAGGCGTCATAAAGCCTGTGAAAATTGACTAGCGAAAAATAAAACCTGTCGAAAATTCCAATAAAGATGTAAAACTCATTAGTTATTGTGTTCGGCTGTTATTAACCTCCTATATATTAGTAACGTTATTCTATTTCATTTGGTGGTCTGGAAATCCATAATTTCAAGAGGAAAAATGACACTTAAGTTTTGCAAATTTTCTCGATTCTGATTGGCTAACATTTTTTTCTCTCAGATCTGCTGGTGGTTCTCACTAGCGACGCAAACTGACGCAAGCACAAGCGCAGGCCAACGAAGAAAAACAAAATCTTCCTTTCTTTTGCGCTTGCGTTCGAGTTTGCGTTTGCGCTTGCGTTTGCGCATGCGCTTCTTTTCATAGTTTTTACAGTTTTCATAGTTAGTTGCCATTACTTACATTTTTCACATGTTTTCCCTGACCAAGTAGGACAACATTCACAAGTAAAGCCGTTTAAACTGTCCTTGCACACACCTCCATGGAGACAGGGATTGGATGAACACTCATTGATATCTGAAATAAAATTTCAACACTGAAATGCTGGCTTTCATTAGAAAGAAATAACAAAAGGAATCGCGGCCATGTTGGTTGATATAAGAAAGAAACCAATTGTCGCAATCAAATTTTTCGTTAAATTCGACCAACATGGCGGCCATGAAAACCAGAAATAAGAAAGAACTTTAGACAAAAATTGCAAGCTGGCTGTATCAACTACGCCTATCGCTTATTCATGAATATATCATCTTAATACAAGATTTGTTTGCAAAATATCTAATATATCTATTTGATTTTGAGGTCTTCGAAGTTTAGACATGCGCAATCGTCGTATCAGAGTAACCGGTTAATGCATGATCAATATGGTTTTTACTTGTATAACCATAGTTAATAGCTATTAACTATGTTATAACTGTTAGCTTTCTTGGGCATGTAGTGCTAACAAAGTTTAGTCAAATACAACTAGTGGTCTATCATCAATGCTGGGTTCTGATTCGATAACCTAATACTAGGCTATAAGTTATAGCCTACTAGTAGCGAAAAGTGCCGGCTTTGAAAACCAAAACCTTAACTTTAATTTAAAACTTGTTTGCATCTATATCTCAGTGACCGACTAGTTAAATTTGACTAAAACATTCGGCTCACGGGTACTGACTCATTATTGTTAAATATATACTCACTTGTAGAACAGTCATCACCAGTATACCCTTCTCGACAGATACATGCGTACGAACCAATGCTGTTTATGCATATTTTACTTGGACCACATATGTTGGGACTTCTCAGACACTCGTTGATATCTGGAACAAATACAGGATGAATAGTAGTTATTAAAGCCTGGTTCACACGAGCAACGCAAACGCAAACGCAAGCAATGTTCACACSTACAACGCAAATGCAAGTAAATTAAGATACGCATGCGCAGTAGTGATTGTTTATAGTTCACACGTATTTTCCTTGCGTTTGCGTTTGCGTTGCTCGTGTGAACCACGTCTTGCGTTTGTGCTTGCGTCTGCGTTTTCTCCGGTTCACACGTTAAAAACGCAAACGCAAAC